CCTCTCCGGGGACATGCCTAGGCGTGTCGTTGAGAATGCGACAGTCGAGCCCTTGAAGATCGGTCCCTTGAAAGACGACTTTGAATGAAGATAATGCTGCAGGCATGTGTTCCCCAGGGATCCCATCCTTCTCCGCAGTCAAGGCCTTGGACAGGGCAACCTATTCCGGATTTTGTTCGACGTGCAGCGATGGCACAAGCAATATTGATAACTGTCTGCCTTCGGTTGACCTTTTCTTCGTTGCGCCCAAGACCTGGAAATGGAGCCTCGGCCGGATGAATGAGGTGTTTCCTCTTCTCATAGTTGGTACTTGCCGCCCAATGTTTCTTCAGGATACGGTTAATTGTTTTCTTCCTTCTATGCCTTGTCTCGTGTCCTTCGGACCGATCATGCAGTCTGACAGGAGTCGTTGATCGTTGTGGAACCTGTGCGAATATCCGTTGCGTTGAGCGGCACGTCCGCGGATAGACTTGCTGGTATTAGCTCACGAATGACGGTGTTGGAATCGGCCGTCCTAGCCGACCTGCCCGGCCATAAATCTTGAGGAGAGAAATGCACGAATGAGGCAAAGCCCAACAACGTCCCAGGGCTTTCGTTCTGGAAATGACGGCGTTGCAATCGCCAAGAGACAACCCGCAAGACGATCGTCTACGGATGAGTTAACAATAGCTGACTGGGCGCTGAGGCGTGAGCATGGCTTTCTTTCCTCATGTCGTCGGCCGAGGCTGCAAGTCAGCTAGCTAGCTATCCGTAAGCTGCATTGGAAGCCTAGTTGTTGTTGTTGTCATGTATGGTTTGATGAAGAACTGCCCCCGATGTTCTGGGCTTCCAGCACCTAAGTGGCCGGAGACGCGACCCTCCAACACGACGTATCCAATTTCCCGGCCGCAGGGCAATAGCTCTTGGATATCCTGCAAGGCAGCATGCGGAAGGATCAGCATAGAGAGCAATGGTTGGAACCAACGACAGATGGTCAATATGAGCGAATAGCAACGAAGGTGGCCGCGGGTTGACCAAAACGCCCGCGAGAGACGCTCATATCGGTTAGGAATGGATAAGCCAGAGTCTGACTGCAATGGAGGGCTACCCGTGCGAATGATGGCTTCCTTCGCTGTAGCCCATGTACTTGCTGACGAGGCTGGAGGTGCCGCGTATTCTCCAGCAAATTGAGTCAGTGGAATGGCTGAGATAGATACTCAGAGACGTTCTATCGGGCGTCCACAAGGCGCGACGAGATGAAGAGTTGACTGGTCCGTTTCCGAATCCAACTGCAAAGAGGCCGGATTCGCTTGACTCTCGCTAAAGTAACCTTTTCGCTCGCCTTGCGGCCTTACAAGACGTCATAAACCTTATTGTTTCCAATTCTATATCAGACCCTGGGTGGCTCGATAACCTATGGTGACATAGGTTGCCACAAGAAACACAAACAGTGTAGCGAAGTGTTGCGTCAAGTAGAAAGCGGGCAGAAGAAACACCACGACGAACAATTGAGAGATTCTCAACCATATCCATACTGTACGGGAGTGCTTTGACAGTGGTCTCCTGCTGCCACTGTTAGGTTAGCGCAACCTACCGTAGCCAAAAAAGACAAGGCAAGCTGGTGCTGGAGGGGCGGGAGAGAGCGCCGTCTAGTGTACTGCAGAACATCCTTGACGTCCAACCGTTGCAACGTTGACATGGACCGGCTTCATAGTTCCGTTTCTTGCGCAGCGGACTTGCTCACAGTGCATTGAAGTCCATAGCACCCGCCCACCCTTCTTCCCCGTGTCGCTCCAATCGAAGGGTCTGACATTCGAGCCAATGGTGGCCTGCAGTACGGAGGTGCGTCTCAATAGTCCTTGCAGTCGCTGCCAAGCCTCAGACCCACAATTACTGCCCATCTGAACCAATAAGAGCCTAGGGATTGATCTTGACCCACTTTACTTACTTTCCCCCCAGCACTGCCCATAGTAACGATTTTACCCTATATACCGCTATTACGATACTACCATTAATCCTATAATAATATCAAAACCGCTAAATCGCTATTTACTATGCTACTCTTTTTTCTTTAATATGGATCCTAAGATACCGACAAAAAAGAAGCTAGATCTAGGCGTTAAGGTAGTGATTCTTATTTTATAAAGTTGACTTATTAGGTGGACTGCTAAACAGGTCTCTTAGGTTTTAGAAATTTTAATTCGAACTATTTACGACGTTCTTGCCTATATAAAAAAGAACGGATTCGACCTAACTGCTCTTACTTTTTCGATTGAGCCTGTTTATTATAAAGATGCCCCCTGAAGTGGCCGTCTAACTAAATAGATAAAAGAGGTTAATAATGCCGTTATCCGTAAGGTCTACTATAACCGGTATAGGTATAAAAAGAACTATATTAATATTATTGGGGACCTATTAAGGGATAAGGGTATTAATATATCTATAATGACTATTTAGCAAATCCTTTATTATTATAGCTTTTATAAGATTAAACCAACCTATAAGCCAGGCTTAATAAAAAGGATACGGTAAGAGCGACTTAAGTAGTGCCTTAATTATTAATACTAGACCTTTAATAATTGGAAGCGGGTTATATAGTTAAACGAGACCGTAGTTACCCTTAACTACCGCCGTAGTAGCTATAAGCTTTAGCGTCGCCTAAACGAGGCCTATTTTAAATAATATATACGAGAGAGGTAGAAGGGTTATTCTGAATTTATATTTTAGGGGTCTTTTTTATATAATTCGAAAGGGCCGTATTATTATTAGATTCCCGAGATTGCTATTAAGAGGAAGGCTACCGATATAGTGATTACCGAATTTAATATAGAGCTCGAGCTTATTCGATATTAATAATAAGAGCTCGAAAGTAGTATAGAGCGAATGGGCTTACGGAATTAACCGGGCCGTAAGCCCTAATTTAATTAAAATATAAAATCGGGTAAGTTAATATAGAACGGTAAGGGCGGAATTAACTAGTATAGATACTGTAAAGAGATCCTATTATTTAAATTATTCCTTTATATTAAAGGATTACCTAGTAATTTAATTATATAAGAGGATAAGGCACCCGCTTACGATTATTACTTTATTTACTATATATATAGCTTTTTTGAGATTACGAAGCTTTTTTGGCCGGGTAATTTACCCGACCTTAATCCTATTAAACCTTATTAACCGTAAATAAAAAGATAGACTATTAGGAAGGGGGCGCCTTTGTTATAGGCCGAAATAATACGTTGTTAATAAGAATACTAGAAAGTATTACCGTAAAAGAAGATCTAAAAATAGATAAAAAGGGTACCTTACTATATCTAATAAATAATTACCCTAGAGGGCGGTAATAAATATAAAGAGGGTCGTCAGGCTAGATTATACTATTAAACGACCACTAATTGACCTTAATTAATGACTTTTTACTGCTAAATTGACGATAATTATAGTAGGTGGAAGTGGCCGAATTCTGCCGCTTGTATACACCCTAGCCAGCCCCTTGTCGACTCCCCTGTCTATGGCAGGGGTTGGTCTTGGCAGCAACTGCAAGGACTATTGAGACGCACCTCCGTAGTATTTGGTGATATAGATGCCGGACTTGGCTCGAGGAAAAGGGTCGCTTGTGAGAACAGAACCAGGGAGCTGTCTGACAGGCACAGGCACAGGCACATGCGCAAGCACAGGGTTGGCGGGCTCCAACGTCGGGGAGCTTGCCATTGGAACCTTGGCCCGCCAGAAGGATGAGGATGAGGGGGATGCCGTTGCATTTGTTCTGGGGTAAACGGACCTGTTTCCCTTCTGATTCGGGAGAATCGTCCCGCTGTGATTCCAAGGTCCTACTTCTTATGGTAAGCTGCGACAGCATCGACAACTCATGGTATGTTGAATGTACTACCACGCGGTGTGAAGATTACATCGCCCCCTTCAGATTTCTACCCCTCAAACAACAAGCCCTCACAAATAGCTACCAACTATTCGAATCAGTAAGAAAATATCAGAATCGTATTTTTTAGTTTATAAAGCATATTTATCTCCTTTTTCTCAAGAATTTTTTTTATTTGGGCACAATAACCCAGGGGTCAAAACTAGGAGTCCACGCAGCACAGGGTGATGTAATCTTCACATCGCGTGACTACGTAGAAATGGAAGTTAGACGCAAGTGGCGAGAAGTCTGACAACCTCGGGTTGCGTTGAAAAACCAAGGCTCGCTCTCGGTACCCCTAATGCTTAATAGCCGTCCGTCCACCATCGGGGCTTTGGAGACAAGGCTCGGGAATCTCTCTGACTCTACAGTTCTGATTAGTGAATATCCATCCATAGTTCTGTGCCATCCCAGTTCTCAGATTCCAACCTTGGGCCGAAGAAAAAGCAATGGCCTAGGCCTAGAACTCCGTGACCCAGAGATATCGCCGATTACCCCACCTCAGCAACGGCAACGCAAGCCAACCGCTGCCTGTGCCGCCTTGGACTTGAGTCGAGTGTCGACATGGAGCTTGGAGGCATGACTTGGTGAATGATGGCTGTCCAGGGAGGCGATGGAAGACTGCCACATTGATAAATAAGACAACTCGCGAGTAAATGACCGGCCAGGTATTTTGATAAGTTGTATGCAACATGTACGAATGGAGAGGGCGAAAGAAGGACCAGAAAGACTGACTACTACGTATGAGTTGCAATTGCAGTTGCACTTGCAGTTGCCAACCCAAGTCCCTTCCAGGTTCCATGTGTTTGTGGATTTCTGGCTGTTGTGGATCACTGGATTGAACAGGACCCCTGGTTACTGACTGGGTCAAGTGGATCAAGTCATGGAGTTCAGGGCAGCACGCAGTTCCGAGTTGCTTGCGACTTGCAGTTCGTCTCCATTCCCACCTTTGCGGCTTGCCTGTGTTCCTGTTCCTGCCTTGTCCTGGGACGGTGAGATTCCAACAGTCGCACTGTCGAAAGGACAAAGGGTTAAACTCGGGGTCGGTGGTGCTCCTGCTGTCTGCGTGCTCGCTGCAGCCATCCAAGACTAAGGCAGGTGTAGATGTGGAGATTCAAGACACGCTAGGTCTAACTGGGACTCGCGGGAGAGAACGGTGTGGAGCCCCGGCTCCTCAACGGCGGAAGGAGTCAAGCACTCAAAGGAGACTGGAGTTCAGAACGGCAGGAGCAAGACACTCACACACTCAAGTTGCGCCAGCCCTTTCTTGCCTTTCTCGACATCAAACACGTACGGTAGGTACCTCTCGGGCATGCCTTGCCTTACCTGACCTCAAGGCACCTTACCTAATAACAGACATAGGCAGGAACAGGCAAGGATATATCCGTACAATAAATTGGACATGCTTTCCTCGCGCCCTCTCTTTCCCTTTGCAGTCCTTCGTCTCTAGATGTGTCTCTACCTCGCTGCCTCTCTGGTCCCCGTCCCCGTCCCCGTCCCCCTCCCCCTCCCCGCCGTGCCCGCCTTGGATGTCTCCTTCCTACGCAACGGGTTTCGCTTTCCCGGACTGCCATGTTTCCCTTGTTTCCGTCTTCCTTCCGGAAACGACCACTTGGACCGACCAGTCAGAGTCATGGCCGGAACCAGAGACGGAGCGGAAGGCCATAATCAGATTGCAACCTGCCGATCCGATAGAGCTGTGATACGCACCTACCTTACGGATACTTTTGTACCTAAACTCACAAAAGTTACAAGTTACATGCATCTGAGTAAGGCACAGATACCTTAATGTTAGGGAAGGTAGACAGGTACGGATAGAGAAGGGAACGAAAGCAGAAGAAAATTAAACAGGCGCAGCAACACGAGTATTCGTAGTTCCTCTCCCAGTGTGATGGAAACTTCATCTCATTCTCAATTCCGCGAATCCGTTGCCCGTACACTTTCTCCGCAACTTGGTACGAACACAGCAACGATGGCACTACTTTCTTTTATCCCGCCTGCATCCCCCGGTCAGTCGCCATTTGCTAAATTCTCCTCACTTTGTCCCGGAAAGACATGCAATTTACCAGACAGCTGCCAGACAGGCTAGCCATGACTTACTATCCGACCGTCTGGAAAGATTCATTTCGTTTCTTCAATTCGCCCGCCTTATCCGTCCATCACTGCACTCGGTCTGGCAAACCCAATGTCAATCAATTCCCCAATCAGAATCCCTCATTACAACCGCGCTACCAACCCACAACGCAACGCTCTGAATCAGTCTGCAGCAATTTCGATGCGAGTCCCCAATCCGACCTTCACCTGGCGGTAATCTTCCCAGGAACCCAGGACACAGGACACACAATACAGGATACGGGATCCCGACAAAGCACCCACATCTCTTGTCCCAAACTGAGGGTTGTCACTTGTCCATCCATCCCCGGAGCCCTGGATTTCCCTCCCGTCCCCTTGGCCAACCCTGGTGCCCTCTCCAGCTCGCGGATACTACGTGGAATCCGACCGGGATCTTGTTCCTTTTCTCTTTCCAAAAGAGAACACACCGCGTACGGTCATCTGCGGACTACTGCACATTGCGTCGCCTAGTTGCGTATAACAGCCAAGGTACGTAATAAGGGCCTGGCAAACTTTCTTTCTCACCGGCTCGACAATGTACAGTGGAAAGCCCCGTTCTGCAGAACCTGGCAGTAGGCTGTACGGGTACGGATAGCACCTCTTGTCTCTCGGGCCCCGCAGAATACCAGAACCTGACTACGAAGCACGCAGTACCTACCGCCAGTCCGGCCATCGCCAGTATCAGAAAGCCAGACCAAAGCCAGAACCCAATCGAAGCCACTTTCATCACTCTGCGTCTCCGGGACCTTGCTTGCCATGCCCATTGGATATCCAGGCCGTACCCAATCCACTGCCCCTGCAGATGGCCTCGGCTTCGCTTGGCGGCCTACGGATACACTGCCATGTGCGCTTGCTTTTGCTCTGCCGCACCGCTGCACCGTGCCGTCCCCGTTCTCCCTTCGCCTCGAAAATGGGACTGGCCTACGTCCGTACCTACGCAGCTCTGAAAACGCTGTGCGACTCGCCCTCGGTCCCGCGTTACGTACCCGTCCGTCATACTGCGAGACGCGACTTGGAAGCTGGCCTGAATTGAAATGCGGATTACGAAGCAGCATACGTACAGAGATCTACCCTGCGTATCTTGCAGTCATAGCCATGGATACCGTCACACTCACTGCTGGTCCGCCATACGAGCTGTGGAAAGGCTCCTTCGGGCCACTAACACTACGTACACCATCCCCGGCCCCCGCCTGTCTAGTCAACTCTGCAGCTTTGCTTCTCCATTACCTCCGCCTTTGAGCGAATAGGCAGTCGTCCCGCCTCTGTGGGACAGTGGAAACAGAAAAGAAAAAACGGCTCTGGCGCCGTCGTCTGTGCGTTGGGTGTATGCAGGCACGCAACTCTGGTCCGCCTTTAGCCAACGTTGAGCGAGTTGCCCAGCAAGGGAAAACGAGGGAAAGAAAAAGGCGCATTCTCGGATCACTTTCTTGGTAGCCAATGCCCGTCAAGAGTTCTGACGAGCTTTGGCAATACCCGGTGCCCGCAATGGAGAAGACACGAGCAACATATGCAAGAGTGGCTAGCATGGGGGGAAACAGAGGGGCCCAAAATCTCGGCTTCCTCGCGACTCAGTCAATCAGTCCCTCTTTGAATTCCTCATATCCATGGGAGGCTTGACAGACTGATAGACCCGGTCGGCGGGCTCGGAAATACCTAGGTTGCCATTTTCTCTACTCGCGCTACGGAAACCCCCTCTCTCAACTGTGCGAAAATGTGGTCAAAGAAGTCACTCATCTTGCGCAAGCCTGCGTGTTAGTGTATTCCGTATTCTGTGTGTGCCTTTCGCAGTTCAGCAGAGTGCTAGCTATCCATATGATTGGAACCATGGCTCAACTAGTCAGATGCCCAAACGAGGAGAGCATTGTGGCTTGACAAAGTATTTCTCATGATCTTGCACCAAAGTTCGGTTTCTTGTCAACCACCGTAACGCACAGCAGCTTTCTCTTTCTTCGCCTAGGTCCCTGCAAACCTTCCGTCAATTCAAGCCAAGCCGAACCCCGCTGTCGTCATCTTCCCGTTCAACGCCTCTAATATGACATTTTTGATAAAAGGACCTCTCCGGCCGACCTTACTATCTGGGAGAGATGGGCCTTGCGTGGAGCACAAAACATGTGCGATAGGGAATAATATCTGGATATCAACATGGCAGACATGCACCAGCTCCGGGAACCCCGTGGAGCAAATGTGGCTGGTCAAGTTCAAGCCCCAGCTGCGAGCTGGACGTAGCCCTGGGCAAGGCTCGGCGTCGCCTTGCCTTGCCCCAAGGTATCCGTACCCTGGCTGGTTTCTTCCGTCCACTGGCGTTTGGGCAACCTAGCTCGAACAGGGTCTGACGGGGAATTCCAGAACCGACCGACCGACGAATATCGACAGGGCAGAAGAGACGCGAGAGAGCTTGTCAGTCGAGTATACTAGGTATGCCCTCTTGCGCATTGCAGCGCCAATCAATCGTGGATCTGGGGCTAGGGTATCGGCCTTCGGGGGACTGGGAGTATGGCACGCGGGTCGAGAACGAGGCATACCAATCCCCTCGCGCCCACCCACCGTCCGCACTGCCATAATGCCAACAACGGTCGTTGTCTCAAGCTACGCAGAATGACTGGGCTGTCTCAGAGCCCCCGTTACCACCGCAAACCTAACGGTCAGTCTTGAAACTTGAGACACTCAGTTGTACGGCATTTACTATGGAGGCCGGGGGGCTGGCTCCGTCGTGGGCTTGACCGCTTCGTTTCTCATACGCCGGACGGCGCCCTGCATCTGTCCGATTTCCAGCCGATTTACTACTACCTGGATGGCGGATGCCGGATGATGGTACACGGCAGCCCTCGGCAGCTCGCAACCTGCTCCAGGGATGGCCTCTCTTGCGCTGCTGCGCACGAAGAAGCAATACCGTACGGCCGGCAACCTGCAAAGCCCACAATTGCTGGGTCCCTTGTTCACCGTGTCCACTCCAGAGTCCATGGACCCAGACCTCCTCACTATTCCTGACACTGGGAAAGTCCTCCGGCGGAGACCACAGCCCTCTGGCAGTCGTCGATCATGATCAGTCACAATCTGGATCTAGCGCCGCTCGACGCGCTTTGGAAATCTTCAAACGCCTCATACAGACGAGTATCCACGGACTAGCCACGTCAATGAGGAATAAGAAACCCAAAGTTGGACTATGGATACATCCCGCAGACCTCAACTGCTCCCAGATCTGACATCAACGATTTGCTGCTGTGTGGAGCAATTGCATACATCTCACATCATCTTTGCATTGATACGAAATCAGCCTGGCAAGGAACCATGCAGCGAACAGAAGATGCTGTGCTACGGATACCATAGGCCAATTCATTGGCTAGACCCTCGGCAATCTTGCCAGGAATAGCAGCATCGTCGTCAATTTCATCGTCTGCTCAGTGTTGGTGGACAATGCATCGCCAGCTCAGTGAGCTTCCATTATGTATAATGTATTGCAACGTCTTCGTCCCATGTACACTTGCTGGCCAAAGCTCTCGAATTTCATAATCACCACGAATGCCAAAGTCCAGACGAGAGAGATCAACGACTTTGTTTTTGCCGAGGTAGGGATCTGAAGAGTGTCAGAGCTGCGTCCAGAGCATGGGCTGAAACAGCTGCTCGATGGAACTCCTATCCGTCCATCTCAACGCACGACTCAAGAACCTTATTCTGTGCCTGGGAGGCCGATCAAATGTTTGGCCAGTTCGGATGAAACTGGTCAAATTTTCGTCACGTTAGGGTTTGAATGGACTTTCGCCTACGTTAGGAGATAACCTCGACCGAGGGCATGTTGAGCTCACCGGGCGGCTTCCATCACTGAAAAGTTCATGCACGGCCTATGAAGTTTGCATGTCGTTTTCGAACCTTTTAGGCTTGTACTATCGAGGACGTTCTGGGAGAAAAAGGCGGAACCTCGTTCGTAGAAAGATCGGCCTGTCACCAGCAATCTGACCACGAACATGTGAGCGGTTTGTGAAAGCAACGCGTAGAGGGACGGTTTGCCAGCTTTTGGCTAGGATTACCCTGTTCCGACCAACCAGACCGGTCGTTGTGCACAATCACGCAGAGTCTTACACTACGCGCGCGTACATACACGACCAGGTCCTTGTGGCTGCTTCGAATAGTGCATAGGAGTTGGTACCACAACATACCGAAGCGACACTAGAGTATTGAAGCGCTCTCGGCCATTGAGTATACCGCCATCGTCGGCACATATGGTAGCTTCCGGGTCCTGTCGTGGCGACGGCGTCAACTCGGGGGCAAGATCGGTTCTAAGACCATCTGCCATCGACCGCTAGCTTCAGGGGCAATCCTTTCAGCCTTCGCGCCAAACGCACAGGTCCAAGATCAGTGCTGAAGAAAAGAGGCGTAAGAAAAGGAGATGATCAGGAAAGGAAGAAGCAAGCGTCTGGAAAAACACGTCACGCTGAAAACGACAACAAGAGTGACAATTCGAGCCGCCCACTGAAAACTATGGAAGTCTTCCAGACTTCCGCGCGGTGGACCTCGAAGGCGAAGCAAGCATCATGGCAAACTGCAAATAGAAACTCTGGTCAATGGCGGGTCCACAGTCCATACACCACACTAGTGACTGACCACGCATCTATTCCCTCTGTCACCGTGGAAGCCTTTGATGAGGGTGCGCCCAACGAATCTTCGTATCAGAGCGCCATGCTGCAATGTTATTGTACGGATATATCGAGGCACACGACATTAGCGGCGAGTATCAACGGCACGGTAAATTGACGCCATGGACACGAGTATTCACGGCATACACACGCGACACACAGTGCATGACAGCCATTAGCTAGCATTTCGACGCGCTTGATTTGTAACTCTTTTCCAATTTACACTTGGCGTATCATACAATGGTCGGATGCATCAAAGTCTCATTTCCCTTCGTCATTTGGCGTTCCGGCTGAATCCAGGCCGTCTTCTTCCTATTGTAGGACGGAATAATTTCATCTACTATCCACTCGCCCATATTCGTCCTTTGCTAAGTCGTCTCTCGTGTCCTGGCATCCCCACCTGTTGCAGGAAGTCAGGCAGTCCTGGGGCTACGAGATATTGGCTAGCCGCTTTGGCGGAATTCCCACGGTTCAACAATTTGTTCAGTGCATCAAAGTTTTACAGTATGACGGCCGGAGTCCAACCATACCGTAATAAGGCAAGGATATCATGAATATCTATCAATCTCAACTGACTGGCCAAGTGTTGCCCCAAGCGTCTGCCGGTCTGCTTTGGTCTTCGACTTTGCAAACGCTCTGTACAATATGCACGACTTCGGCCAGCTAGTCGCGATAATTGCTGCTACTATCGTTGCATATCTGCATATACGCTTCTCCTTTCACCCAATGGATTTAGGCACGCGACTGTGAAGCGACGCAGACGGCTGCTAGTACGCAATGCATCGGTCTGTCTGCAGGTTACAAGCAAAGTCTCAAGCCTCGAGAGGAGGGATAATCAAGACCATTTCTCCCCGGCCAGCATCTCCCGGGCCGTCTATGGCCATCCACTCAGGACCGCCGCATCCTGCATGCCCGCTCCGAACTCACGCGGCCCAGGATGCTGCTGCTGCTGTCGTTGGCAGTGGTAGTGGCAGTGGTATCGCGTGGTGCTACTGCTGCTACTGCTGCTAACACTGCGTGGCTGCCTGCTTCTTTACTTGCTGCTGCTGTCTATCTATCTCCTCTCTCTAGTCTCTTCGGACCACCAGTGATGCAGCTCGCTTCATGGGTGCGTGAGAGAGTTCGTTTGTACCCTGCCTTACACCCACCCACCCACATCGGCCGACAGCCCCCCTCAATCCTCACAGCAAGGCATCCTGGACGACCACACCACACCCCCAGCAGCACCTCCAGAGCCAGATCCCTTCATCCCCCCTGACCCCTTGTCTGCATCCTGGAAGAGGGGACATACGGGGGGGAGGGGGGAAGAGCTGCTGCGGTGTTGCATTCTGGGACTAGACTCTGCAAGAGACTGTGAGCATTGCACAGGGTTGTGACGGGGCGGCGCTGACATCCCTCCCCCGGTCTTTGGAGACTGGTCCTCTTCTCTGGTCTGGTCCATGTCCACAGTCCATCTGCGTCGCGCGCCCAAAAAACTCACAGGCTCGACGGATCCCAAGGTTCGGATCCCGACCCCCGGCTCACAACGCATTGAAAACAGCACCATCTTAAATATATTACAGTCCCAAGCGCTTCCCCCACAGTCTGGTTGATCTCTTGTCACCTGTT